TTTGTGTTAATCCTAGGAGTCAGTGAGAGGCTCTTGAAGTAGGTGTGTGACTGACCAGGTAGGGAGGTGTCTTTTCTGAAGAACAGGTGTTCAGTCCCTGCAGGTCCTCAGGGACAGGGTATGAGGAGGAGACAGGACGAGAGCTTTTTCTGAAGTTCTAACAATCCTTGCTTGTATGTCAGACTCTGTGTCACTAAATTCATCCCTTACACCAGGGAAGTCCAGCGTTCCCACTCACACACCTGCACCTACTGCAAACTTCCTGCACATACATCTGCATTCCCTCCGAAAGCTAGCTGCAGAAATCTAGAGCTCCTGGCCCACAACACCATCATGAATGTGCTTCACTGGTATAGGCCTCCCTCTAATTTAGGGTTCGCTGATACATGTGTCCTCATCACCATCTGCCTACTTAGGGGTTCTACCCTCAGCTACCCTGTCCTCCCACCTTCAAGTTGGGTATCCCATCATGCACCTTTGACAATCACCTCTCAAACAGTGTTAGCATCTCTAACCTGGTGAGAAACCTGAGAGTCATCCTTGACTAAGCCCCTTCCCTCCTCTCCTCTTAACTCCCCAAATCCTGTTGACTCGTACTCCACTGCTTCTCTGTAACCTGACTATTGGCTGCTACAGCTCTCACTTAGACTTTGGTGCCAGCAGAGAATTCTCTGGTTTTACCGTCTCCGATCTATCCACCAAACTGCAGACAGGCAATGTCTTTTACAAGGAATCTTTTGCTTCCCTGCTTTCTCTGGCCTCTTCAAGGTCAAGCCCAAATTTCTTCTTTTTTTTTTTGAGTCAGAGTCTCACTCTGTCACCCAGACTGGAGTGCAGTGGCCACTCCCGGCCACCACAGCCTCGACCTGCTGGGCTCTGGCGATCCTTCCAAGTAGCTGGAATTACAAGTGCGCGCTACCGCGCCCGGCTAATTTTTTGATTTATTGTAGAGATGAAGTCTCGCCAAGTTTCCCAGGTGGGTCTCGAACCCTTGGGCTCAGGCAATCCACTCACCTCAGTCTCCCAAGGCACAGAATTACAGGCTGAGCCCGGCTCCAAATTTATTCTTAGTATACAAGTATTTTGCAGGTGTGGCTCCTGCTCTGGCAAGGCAAAGCTCTTCTCCAACTCTTTTCTCCAACATACTGGGACACTCGTAGAACTGTCCAGGGAACTAGGCTCCTCCTGGCCTCCTGGTTTTAGCGCAAAATGTTTTGCAGGTCTGACCATTCTATTTGACCCTTAAGTCTTAACACAGCTGCAGTTTTCTCCAGGACATCTTCCTTACCCTCAAGGGTTGCACTGGGTTCCCCTTTGGAAGTGGTAACATTCCACACAAATATAAGAATAATAGTAGCAGAGATATGCAAGGGACCTTTAATACTGGGGAAAGAGAAATATTAAGGAAGTACATTATGTGGACGACAGGGTAAAAGAACTCGACCCTGACTGTGAAAAGGCATTCCTTATAATCCAAAGGGTGTTGAGAAAGAGGCCAGTTCTGCAGGACTGTCTGAGCAGGAAAGGAAGAACGGTATTTCACAAGCTCCCGAGAGTCCCTGTATTTGCATTCAGCATTTGTTTTTAAAGCCAATACTGCCAGCGTCTACCAAAGCATCTTTGAAGTAAAGCTTTCACAGCACTGACAGAAAAGACCCAGTTCCCAGACTCAACTCCAAGCAGCACTGGACTGCTAATCCCTCATGCAATACGGCTTCTTTCTAGGCCTCAGTTCTGGTCCTAGTTCTCCTGATAGACTCCAAGGAACATAATTATTTTAGACTTTTCATTAATGAGTGAAATAAATGGGAAGGATATGAACCCTCAACATACTTTCCAGATTTGAGACATAAAGCTGGAAAAAACGACTTCTGCTGACTGTAGTTACCTTTCACCAAATTGGACGTTAAAGTCGCTACTGTTATTTTACTTTGTTCCCTTTGCTAACACTGTCAGCAACTTAGCAGTGAGGAAGAAACAGGAGGAAAAAGATTTTAAAGAAAAAAAGAACTACTACTTAATAACCACAGTGCTTCTTTTTCTCAGGGAGGGTAGCAGCTAGCAAGACAGCAGCTTAGTAAATAAACCAGTCTTGGATATGTCACCGGGAAAGGAAGACTCTCTGTAAGTGCGTGACATCCTAGATGTCCTGGCCTCTTGCCGTGTGACCTGTGTGTGTGTGTAGTTTTCCCAATGAGTGATACACTGCAGTGAGTGCACAACCATGCACCACACTTCACATGTTAAGAGACACAACTGCATGAGGCAGCGAGCAGGGAGAAGCCCTGGAGTGGGAGGCAGGAGACGGACTAGAGGGACAAACCGTGGACTCTTCCTTTCAAGTTCTGTTTGTGTAAGACACCTGTGGCACAAAGACACGCCATGGAGTCAGAGAGAACCCAGTCTTACCTTTCACAGTTCAATATCCCTTATCGGAAATGCTTTGGACCAGACGCATGTTGGATTTTGAGTTCCTGGATTTGGGATGCTCAATCTGTGTGCATGTGCATTGCCAGAAATAAGGCTGTAATCATAGACTCTGAAAACCCACTAGGTCGACTTTTTCCTAACACAGAAGCATCAGGGCTGAACTGGCAGTCCACTGGGTTAGAAATCAGGCATAACACCAACCAGATACCTTACAACAACGAGTTAGAGAAGTTTTAATCCTCGAGGGAGCGGAAAGGACCCCAGGGGTGAGTCAACTGAGATCTTCTCGACCTCTCCCCCTTCTTCCCAACACACCTTCCTCTCCTTGCAGGAAGAGCGACCTGTATCAGCAGTAGTTCTCAGCACGTATGAGGTGGAGAAGAAAGCAAAGAACAACGAGAAGAAATGAAAGGCTCCTGTCCAAAGTCTTCATTCAAAGGTGATGATGTGAAAGTCAGTGAAGTGATGTGCTCTGCCCAAGGCCATACTCAGAGAAGGAGAGCTGAGCTTTCTTACCCTGCAGTGGATGTGCATAGCGAGTCCAACGCTTCCAATGAGGCAAAGATGCGAACGAAAAAAACAGCACGCTCCCACTAGGGTAAACTGGCCTGGGTGACAGAAGATGAGAGATAAAGGCCAATATCTGGATCTATTTTTTAGCCTTTTTATCCCAGGCATGGTTCAAAAATTTGTTAAGCAGTCATTTTTATTTTATCTACCAAATTCCTTTTTTAAACTTTTCTAGCTAGAAACTCAATGGTGGTCTCTGACTCACTCTTCATTTCTTGAGCAAACCCACTGCTCCTTCCCGCGATGTTCTCTCGTTGCCCACTTTCCACACCAACCTTGTGCTTTTTAACTCCATTCTGGGTGAGAAATGAAAGGCATCGGGGGCCTCAGGGCGTCCAGAAACAGCCCCTCTCATCTGTACTGTAGGAATACTGCTAGCCTGTGAGCTAGCCCACGCAGCAAATGATGCTTCCTTACTAATTAATCCCCTCCCCCATGTGTCAGACAGGAAGGCTGGTGAGTTATAACGTGTCTACTGATCTTATCTGAGTGTGAACAAGCTATTGACAAGTGTGCAAACCACTGCTGCCCCTACAGTTTTCAGGAAGCCAAAAACCCTTTTCAAGAATGTTCCCACTCACAGACGTGCAATGTAAAGCTCCCTGGTATCATTCCAACTGCTTCTTTATTGCTTTCTAACATTCACTATCTATCAAAGCAAAGATTCCATGTCAAAGTTAAGATAGGGCAGATCTGAGGGACAGAATATCCTTAGATGGGACAGGTAAGATATGAAATTTGGAAACAGTTATTATCAAGGCAATGTCTCCAAAGTAGATTAAATGCCTCCAATATACTCAATACACTTTTCATTGGCTGAGAACATCTTCTGTTTCTGCTAGGAAAATGGTAAACCACAATTTCTTCATGCAGCTGCCTACTTTATTTCAAAAAAGGTTTCTACAACCTGCCTGCTGTTTTCTTTATATCCCTGACACGGCCATCGAGCTCAAGACCCATCTTCACCGGTCTCTTCGACCAGGTCGCCTGGAGGTCAACGCTAGCCCAGGAGAGGAAGAACGAGACAAGCCATGCAGAGGACTAGACCAAAGTGGCCGACACACTGAGACACTTACTGCACATCTGTGGAAGAATAAGAAACAAGCGTCTCTGGCAAAACGCTAGCCCATGAGCACAGCCCAGCAGTGAAGAAGTGTGCTTCAGATCGAGGCCCAGGTTGAATCCTGGCAGTGCCCCTTAGGTGTAACTCGGAGCAAGTCACTTAACCCCTTGATGTTACAGTCCTCTCATCTCTGAAAAAGTGGCCACTCGTGAAGTTGATGTGAGTATTAAATGAGTTAATACATGTGAAGTGCTTAAAATGGTGCGTGGCCCACAGTGAGGGCCACAGAAGCTTCTGCGATCACTGTTATCGGGAGGCGTGAGAAATCAACAGGGTTCACCTCCTCCTTGACCCCTGGACTCAAACCATGAAACGGGAGGAGTGAGTTGCTCTCCAAGGGCTCCAACCGCCTTTCCCACACCTGCATTTAGCATCGTGCATGCTAATGTCTCTGTGCCCCACAGTTCTCCCTATTAAATGCTGAGATCCTGAAAGAAACTGACAAGCGACTGGTAAGTTCCACCATCCTCGGTTTATAATTCAGCGGGGAATGCCTTCTGTTTCGCAATGTCCATCCTACATCAGAAAACTGCACCAGGCCAAAGTTCCCCCATGCTCTGTAACAGTGGCTTTAAATCCATCCTCTTACCTCCTTATCCACCTTCACTATCATTTCAACAAAAACAAGTGGGGGGAGGGAGAGGGAAAGGGAGAGGGGCAGAGGGGAGGAAGAAAGAAAGAAACACAGAGAGAGAACGAGAATGTACATGCAAACCTTTTTCTTGAAGTTTAGGAGAAGAAAGCCTAAATTTTAGCCCTATAGGGGAAGAAAGGTACTAGGTGGCTAAAACAGACCCTGTAAACAAAACTCAGCGTTAATTTGATGGTCACCAAGAGGCGGTGTTTGAGACCCTATTCACAACTCTCCTATCATTACTTCAGGAAATCAAGAACGCCACAGGACCAGAACGCTGGCTCTCGGGGCTGAGCCTTATGCTCCGTGGCACCCACCTCCTCCTCTGTGCGTTTCACGTGGGGCATTGTACTGGGATCTGGGCAAGAGAGAAAACATTCCAGATCCCAGTGAAGCTTCCTGTCTGGGCAACAAGAGCGAAGCCAAGATGTATCTGTTCCACGGGATTCATCACCAAGATGCCCTAGGGGCTGGGCAAAAAGAATGACTTCGCTGCCTGGTGGCTGGGCTGCTTTGCCCTGTCTTAGGCCGTAGTAGAATAATGTCTCATTCTAGCAGTGACCCGAGGGAAGACAAAGGAGACTCTCTCACAATAAGCACAGGGCTTGAATAAGTCCCACAGGTGGTTTTGACAGGAGCTGCACCTCCCCCAGGGAAAGGCTCCCTGAAAGGGGTGGCGACTGGCTGGGCTGGACAGGCGAGGCGGACCGACTGGTACAAGATGACGGGCAGAGCAGGTTAGAGGCTGCTCATGGAGGGAGGAGTGGGAAGCCTGTGGCAAGCAGGCTGAGGTGACAGTGCATGGCCTTGGATGCCATGTCAAGGTGCTGGAAATGCATTCTGGAGAACTGGCAGCTGGAGGCCCCACTGAGGACTCTGGGGTCACTAAGTGCTGCTGAAGCTCCATGACATCTGTGTGATATGGAAGACCCCCCCCCCACTGGGTACCTTCCTTGTGCCAGACACCGTGTCAAGCGCTTTTTACAATACTCAGCCTCAGTGTTCATATCTGCACAAAAAGAAACATTTTTTACCTTGTGCAGTTAAGGCGTTATATTTATATAGTGTCATGCCTGGCACAGAGTAGGTTCTTTAAAGATAGTATCACCATTTTTACATTATTCCTTCAAATTATTACACATTACAAATTATTACAAGATACATTACATGTATAAAATGTAATATACACATAACATATATGTAATATACATATATTCCTTCAAGTTACTGTCATTCTGCAAACTTAAGTGTTATCTAAAACTAAAGGTCAAAGAGGGTCTGTGGCTTGGCAACGGCTACACGGCAAATGATGAGCCATTTCAAACCTAGATGAGTACTGAAGAGCTCAACTTCCTTCCCGCACTACAAGGCACGGTGCAGAAAGGAGCAGGTGAAATGGAAGGCCATGGTGGCACAGGGAGTCAACTGCAGGAAGTCCCTGACACGTGAATCAGCTCTAATCCCAGAGCATGTTCGTAAGTCCAGTTTGTTCGCAAGTCCAGCAACGTCAGCCCACATACCCAACTAACACAATCGACTATACAGCACTGTACCGCAATAGGCCCATAATACCTTCCACACAAACAGTACATAAAAACAAACACAAAAACTAAAGGATACATTTTTAATCTTACGGCACGGTACCTTGACAAGGACAGTACGGTACAACAGCTGGCCCACAGGGGCTGGCATCAAGTGAACAGATAGGAAGAATTACTGACGGGAGGAGGGAGAGGAGGTGGGAAGGGGCAGAGCTCAAGGGTCATCAGCAACAGGAGATGGAGGGCCAGCGGCAATGTCACTCACGCCGATGGCACAGGTCCTGGCTCCTCGCTGGATTCAATTCTATCCACCCTCGTGAAAACGTGATTCCGTGGCATCTGGGTTACTACTCTTTTATCCTCATCAGAGATGACACAGTAGCACTGGCTGCATTCTGAACAGCTGCGCAAGCTTCACACACTGTTCTACGCTTGGGTCCTGTGCCTTGAAAACAAACATGCCTCCCCAAAGACAATCCCCCGCCATTTCCTGGGTCATGAATCTCTTTGGTCTTCAGTTACTTCTCCTTCCTCTTGTCTCTCTCCATCCTTCCTCTGGGCCTCCAGCTCCACCAAGTCCTCATTAGTCAACTCCTGGTGTTGTTCGTAGGAGTCCAGTGAAGCCATCCTCTTACAAATCTAGCTCAGCTTCTCACCAAGGGTCACCAAGTTGCTGAAGACCCCATTGGACTCCTCACCACCTTCTCAAATCCATGGGAATCATGAACACACTGCGGGCAAAGGTTCTTCCAAATCCCGCTCATGGTGATAGTGGTAACCTCATGTCAGGCAAAAGCACTGCTTTTTTTGGTCTTGTAGATGTTACAGTCCTTCCCTAACTGTCACAAGGTTGTTCCTGATTTGTCACTTGCCTTTACTGCCTGATGAAAAGTGTGACGTAAATGTTTCTTGAAAGCTGCTAGGACTCCCTGGTCCGTAAGCTGGATGAGTGACGCAGCAGTCGGTGGCAGATGCACAACTTTGACACTGGGAGGAAAGTCATTCATGATTGGGGGTGGCCCAGAACACTGTTGAGGAGCAAAAGAATGTGAAATGTGACATTCTTCTCCATGCAGAACTTCCCTCCCTCTGGGATAAAGTGGTAGAAAAACCAGTCCTGGGCAACCCCTTCGGGTCCCCTCCCACTATTGGAGCTTTTCTGTTCTCTCAATAAATCCTGCTTTCTTTAAAAAAAAGAAAAAAGAAAAGAAAAACCAGTCCTGGAAAATGGCTCGTGTAACCCAGGCTGTGGGGCTACTCTTTCAAACAGCAGGAAGAGAGCCCCTGCTGTGTTTCTACATGCTCTTGGGTTATCCAAATGATAAACCAAGAGATGCTTCAGCTTCATATCGCCAGAAGCACGGCCACCAAAAACAGAGCTAGCCTGTCCTTTCTGCTTTATAGCCTGGCACCCACTTTTCCTCCTTACTGATGCAATTTCAGTTGGCATCCTTTTCTAGGACAGTTCTGTCTCATCCACGTTAAAAACCTGCTTGGGTAAATAGACGTCTTCATCAATAATTTCTCGAAACATTCAGGAACTTCCTGGGCAGCTACTGTACCTGCATGAGCTGCCTCGTCACTTACTTTTTATACTGTGAACGATGGCTCTAGCCTTGAACCGATAAAACCAGCCATGGTTTAAAGATGGATCCTCTGATTCTTTGCCATGTTTCTTCTTCAAGTCTGCATAAAGGTTTCCAGCCTTCTCTTGACTCAGCACAAGCTGAGCGGGACTCGATGCTAATGCTGATCCCCACACAGAGAAGTCTCCTCACTTCCTCCATCAGCTTCCCATGCTTCTTCTTCGACATCATCATCAACATTACTGGCACAGCGGACGCCACATGTTCCATGACCTTGTCCTTGTTCTTTAGAATTGTGCAGAAGGCTGGATGATTCACATTATAAGAACGAGCAACTTCTACCATCTTTTCACCTCACTCCAACGTTCTCAATTCTTTTCACTTTTGTTTCCATTGTTATCGCTTGGGGCTTCTTAGTACCAGCTACATCACCACTGCTTTTACGTTTGCTTCCAGACATCCCAGGCTGACATAAAGATACTGTACTACTATGCTCTATACAGTACTGTCCAGTAAAGTACACAGAAGCACAACCACTTGTAGAGGATGCAACATGTGACAATGTACAACAGGCACATGAGCCAACTTACGTGACTGGACATGTGAACACACGTTCACACCTTTGAAAGTTTGCAACTTGAAGGTTCGTATTCAGGGGACTTATTATAAATGGTGTCAGCATTAGTTCACTACAATCCTGTTTAAGAGGATAAAATTGGCTAAAATTAGAAACAAGTGCCAATAAAAAGTGGACCAGAGTTATTATTGTCTAAAGAGAACATAAGTATTCCTAATGCCATCTAAACACTTAGCAATTTGGCAATATAATAATAATACTCTGGTCATTATTCAGCAACTTACTGAGCAATATTTAGTCTCTGGATATGCCTGTAGAGAGCTCAGAAAGCATTTTCACATGCTGCTCTTCTTTATCCGTCACTACAACCACATGGGACAGGATCATTCTCAAATCAGATCGCTCTACTTATTTTTTTCCTCCTTCAACCCCTATTTATTCTCACGTACCTAAACTTCTTAATACTGTGCAGTGGCTTTCCTAACAGAATCAGGTTCTGTGTTCCGAGGTCCTCAATGACACACACAGATTTCATGTCCTACCCGTCCTCCTTCCCTTCGGCTCATCAGCTAAGATCAAGAAGACGGATGGGTTTTTGGTCAAAGGGAGTCAAAATGGGCAGGCAGTGTGGCATCGGTTCCACAGAGGAGGACGGAAAGTACTTGATGGAGCTCTGGGAGCTCTTGAGGACATGCTGCCCCAGCTGGAAGTGAGTTTTTAGATCAGCCACACAGACACCTTAGTGGAAAGAGAGGATGGGCAACCGAACAGAAGACTGTACTGAGAAGTGTACTCTTCAGCTTTTGGCATAGCCACACAATCTGTTTTCCTTGAAAATGTGAATCATTTTCCTTCCACATCATGTGTATTCAGTATTTCTACCAGGCATCCTCTTGAGAGACTATAAAAGTCCCGCCTCCGCGGCTACAATGAACACACGTTTTCAAAAGGGAAGCAGACGGAAGGCTCTGCAACACTTTCCTCCTCCCAAGGCTCACAAGAGGGGTATCATGATGGCACTTGCACAGACGTCCTAGTCCACCACTACTGCTCGGTTGTCTAAGGCTGGTCCATCGTGCCCTGGTATTTCACGTGAGAGTCTGCAGCTGGCCGCGGCAATACATTTCTAGAAGAGACTTCCAGCACTCAAGGTGATTTAATACTACACCAAGTTCATTAGTTATGGTATCTACATCAATTTTCTACAGTAGCTATTACTGCCCTTCAGCTTCCAGTCATTGCCTTCTATCTGTAAGCAAAGCGAAACACACACAGCTTTTGTAGAAGACCTGCTATTTAAGAGCCGCCCGTCTGCAGCATCCCTTGATAATCCCCACCAACGTGGGCTGTCTTGAGGGATTCAGTGGTTGTGGCTTTGGCAGTGCTGCAGCGGCGGCAGCACTCGCACTGCCCATCCCCATCTCACAGTGTCTGCTAACACATTGGGGTGCTGGCTGCCAACAGATTTAATTTACCCACTTCTCAGTTTGCATTAACCTTGGAATAATAAAGCACAGCTGAGGCTGCTGCAAGAAACAAACTGAAGAATGAATAATTAAAAACACCTCAGACTTGGAAAGGCCAATCTCTAACCATTAGGGGAGCTTTAATTGTGACGAACTAAGCATTAAAAAGGCTAATTATACTCTTTATAAACGGAAACAAATGCAGAGGACGTAGTGTGACTACATGTGGTCTATGAAAAGCAGAGCTCTGAAAGCACCGAGTAATTAGTTCAAATGAAAAAGTAAGGATAGCCTGATTCTGAAAAAAACTTATTTCTAAAGATGGGCACTCATTGGCTACATTCAGGAAAAATGGCTCCTACTTAGAAAAAGCTATTATTCATCCGATGCAGGTGGACTGGCTACCGCAGCATTCGAGGAGAGAGAATGTTAGAGCTGAAACAAAGCATTGAGAGTAAAACAGATTACAGGACAACCGACGACCCTGTCTGGTTTGAATCCGTTAAGTGCTCTTGCCAGCTGGGCTTCTTTGCTTTAATGGATTTAATTTTCCTTTGGGAAGAACAAAACACAAGTCCAAATCTGCCATATTCATGTGTTAAGATAAAAAAAAAATCACTGATGTTTCGTATACCTCCTAAAACGTTCTTAGTATCTAGTATCATTTCAGACCAAAGAGCATCCCATGCATCTGAATAGTCAGAAACTATTGTCAATTCTTTTTCTCCACATCTGACAAAGAGCAGGATGGATATCCCCCAAACTAAAGAAGGCAGGTTCCCTCACTAACTTTAAAGTATACACAACTTTTCTTACACAAGGAAGGTTTTTCTAGTGCTTATTTTGCTAAATTTAAGGCCCTTTTCTTTACTTTCTGTTCAAAGAACCACTTTGGCAATGCCCTTCTAATAACCTTTCAGTTTCTGGAAAGTTAGGGAGATAAAATTCTTTCTAGTACTAAGCCATTTTAATGGCTTTTCTTTTTCATTTCTATGCTTTTCCTGGTTTTCTAAATCTTCTCTAACTTTCTGCATATCTAACTTAAAGATGATTCCCTGCATATGACACGTGAAAGGATGACTCAGTGAGAACAGAACAGGACTTGCTATTTTAATAAAGACCAGTTTCTCATTTAGGGGAAGAGAAATACTTCTTTTTTGTTCTTGCAGGCTATATTCTTAATTTTTTCCTGTTTCTCATCTGTTCTTGGTGTAAGAAAACTGTTGACTTACCCTGAGCTTGTTCCCTCCTGTGGCCTGGAGACCTCGTGCTCCATCTGTGATGAGTCGCCATGGATACAGCTGTTCTCATTACTGGCTTCTTCTGAGCATCCCTGTCCTTTTGTCCTCACCCTGGAATCCCAGAGATTTGTGTCCTCTGGTGGTCAGTCTGTTGCCTTTTTCTCAGTGCCACTTTAACACTTGGTATTGTTCTCACCCAGCAGAACAAAGGATCCCATCCCTGGTTTCCCGCAGGCTGTGACCTCATTGCTAGAGTCCCAGGGGTCCGAGGTCACACTGCTGCCTGTCTTTTACAGACTGGGAGTCCCTTGAGGGCAGGCACAAGGTTGCATTCATCTTTGCATCGTAGGTAGCTATAGTGGTCACAATAGATACTCAAAGAACTGACCCTTGTAACACTGGCAAAAAGTGCTGAGGTCAGAGCAGGTACTGGGTAGTATAGGATTAACTGTTTTTCTTGGGGTTGGGTTTGTTTCTTTTTAATCCACCTTTTATTTTGAAATCTTCAGATTTACAGAAACACAGCAAAGATAGCACAGGGTTTGCATATACCCTATACCTAATTTCTCCTATTATAAACATCTTCCATTAGCATGATACCTTTGTCACAACTAATGAGAATCCATACTTTGCTTTCTGGGGATTTTCTTAGTTGGTGCCCAACATTTTTACTTCTTCTGTCCCAGGATCCCATCCAGGGTACAAACATTTAGTAGTTGTGGCTCCTTAGGCTCCTTTCTTTTGAAAAAATAATAAAACACAAACTTGAGTTGAGACACAAATGGGGGTACATGGGCATGCTCTCTAACTGGGCAATTTTTCTGTACATCTAAAGTTATTCCAAAATAAGAAGCTCATTTGAAACGACTTGTTTCTTGGTGGGGGGGTGAGGTGAGGTGAGGGTGGGCACTTCCGCTGGATCCGCTCTCACTCCGGTGAAACTGCTCAAGTCCAGCGTGCTTGGCCCTTGCTCCCCAGACCCTCAGCTCTTCCATATATGAGTTGTTAAAAAATTCCCTAAGCTGAGTAAAGATGGATATGCAGAGAAAGCTAGCTGGGACGCCGGATGGCTACTTGCCCGTGCATCAGGTAGGTCATGGTATTTCAGAAACTCCAAACACCTTCCCAAACCCACTCCCCTTTATCCAAAGACTACGGATGACAAAAACTGTAAGAAGCCCAAGACGCTGTCAGTCAAGAATTTGTTTGAAGCAAATATGTCACCTGAGTGCTCAAGAGAAATACCATAAAACCCCTAAATATAGTTCAGATTTGGTCCATGGCCGCTTATAAATTCTGTAGGCCATGCCACAGCCCAAACCGTGCTGATGTCCATTCCACAACTTCTTTAAGTAGGCAGTACAGAGCGAGTCAGCATCGCCACCTCACCTCCAATACAGCAGCATCACTGACAGCAGCTAGCCCTGCGTTTCCATATTGTGGGCCCAAAGGATTGTCTTTCCTTGTAGTGCCTGCTTGTCAAATTTCTGCCCATGAGGATCAATACAGACGAAAAAGCTGGTAAGAACAGTGAGGACTGAGGAGGGACCTGGGAGAGAAGAGGGACTGACTCTGGCTCCCTGCACATGTGACCACTCATCCCTGCCTGGAGTCTTGGGCTACACACACAAAGGAAATAAAGAAGAAAAGAAAGGGAGAGAGAAAGCGGGATGTCAAAGTAAGGGTGGAAAAGATACGGGAAAGAAGTAGGAATAAGAGATGGCTGATGGAGCCCACTAAAACGTGGAAGCACAGACTCACTACCGACTATGATCATTATTACTGTTGTTGTTTTGTAGAGACAGGGTCTCACGAAGTTGCCCAGGCTGGTGTCGAATTTCTGTGCTCCAGCGATCCTCCTGCCTTGGACTCCCCAAAGCACTGAGATCACAGACATGAGCTACTGTGCTCAGCCGTGTTTTATTTTTAAAAGCCAGCAGAATTGAATATTCTCGTCCTACTCCAGTTTAAAGCCCAATGAATATACCATCTAATTTTGTTTAGAGAAAAAGTATTTGTAAAATATATATAAAAGAAGAGCCACTGTTTAGCAACAACCAT